TTTCATTACAATTAGTTAGTTTATTACTATCACCTTCATTATGATCCTTGTCTCATTCTTCACCTTGTGTGCATCTATCTATCAAGTGGACATTGAATATTCGCATTTCTCATTTACCAACAATTTCTCACCTTGTCGAACTCTTTACCTTCTTCGTTATTTCTCCTCTTTGAAAGATTATTACCCAACTATTCTGCATTCTTGATTCCGGTTTCTAGCACTAGGTTAATGATGTAATTATACACTATTTTTTTTAATAATAGACTGTTATATGTTTATGATATGTATAAATACGGTTGTATAGGTTAAGGAAATGATATGGTCGACAAAGAAAATCTTCTTCGCTGAATTATCTCTTTTTTTCTCGATTACTATTATTATTATTAGTCCCTTGGGTTCCTAGTGGAACATAGGACTTCAGTAGCACGTCTCCAGTGACCTCTGTTCTCTGAGATCTTTTGAACCTGGTTCCACGACAGCCCACAAGCTCTCATTTCCTCCTCGCACCACCTCCTCCATGTCACCCTCGGCACAGACACCCAACTCGTCGCTCCCGATGGGGATTCCACTCAAGCAACTGGCCTGACGCGTGATGTCCCCAGTCGGCATTCTCAGTGTATGCCCAATCCATCTCCACTTCCTCCTGCATATTTGTTGGGTGATAGGTTCTTGGTTGGTTCGTTCCCAGAGCTCCTTTTTGCTTATTCTCATTATTTTGGCCATCTCATCGATCTTCAGTAGCGAGCGTAAGCAGTTGTTGATGAATGTGTGTAGTTTATTGGAAATCCCTTTCGTGACGCGCCAAGTCTCTCAACCAACACATAGAAGCACTGACTTGACTGACGTTGGTGTTGAAAATCCGTATCTTGTTCCGCATGCTGAGTGCAGTAGATCTCCACACTCGTTTCACGTTAATGAACGCCTGTCTTGCTGTGTTTCCGATTCTGACTTTGACATCCTCGTCTGTGCCTGTGTCGCCTGTAGTTGAAACAGTGCTTCCTAGATAGGTGAAGGAGGTTACTTCCTTTAAGTTTCTCCCGTTGACGGTGATTGGAGTTTGTTGTTGTTGGTGGTGGTGCGGTATCTTCATCACCTCTGTCTTCTCTACATTCACCTGAAGTCCCGTCTGCGCTGCCTCACTTCTTCTGTCAACTTGTCAGTTTTCGCCTGCAGATCTTCCAGTTTATGTGACATCAGGCACAAGTCATCGGCGAAATCCAAGTCTTCTAGGTTCTTTTCCGCAGTCCAGCCAGCGTATCCTCCTCTTCTCGCTCCCTACTGTTATCTGCTGCATGATCCAGTCGACCACAATCAGGAATATCATGTGTGATAATAGGCAACCTTGTTTCACTCCTTACTGTCTTCACTTCCATGGCATCACTGAGCTTCCCATTGTGAATTACTTGGCTGGCATGTGGCATCTTCATATAGTTGTTGAATGAGGCGGATAAAGGTTTGCGGTACTCCGTAGTAATGAAGCAGTTTCCAAATTACATCTGGGTTGACGCTGTCAAAGGTCTTCTCGAAGTCGATGAAGTTGAGGTAGAGAGCTGATTGCTACTCTATGCTCTGTTCTATGATGATGCATAGTGTAGCGTTGCAATTTGGTCTGCACATGATTTGTACTTCCTGAAGCCTGTCTGTTCGGGTCGTAGTTTTGAATCCAGTGCATCTTTAAGCCTCTCCAGGATGATGCGGCTTGAAATTTTACTTGGGGTGGACAGGAGATGATGATGATGAATATTACTCTAATGATTACAGTAGTATTTAAGTAAGTGTATTTCATTAGTTAGTTAATTATTCGGCCATAAGAATACTAATTTTGTCTGTTAAGTTCGATTCTAACTACTGACATAAGAATAATGTTCCAATTTGGATTTAGATAGTGTAATCAGAAGATGAAGTTTATCTGAATAATGTTTAATGTATTACTTGAGCAATACATTTCGAATAGACTGATTACACAATTACATGTCAAGTAAATTTCTATGAGATCAAAGAATGGGAGGAAAAAGTGAGACAATTAAGATAATAGGGGGATCAAAGTCGGTAGTGATTATCATACACAAGTTGAAACCACCTTCGTATGTACAAAATACAATTTGTTCTTACACACTACACCTTCTTTGGTAAACTTTGTAGTCTTACACAGATTAGGATGAACTGTGTCACTTCTCCCTTTTGTTTCCATTTTTCATAATTTTAATCCCTCATTATCTTACTGTTGTACTTGTCCTCTCATTCCTCGGTTTAATATAAATTGACTTGAGACAAGTAAATGTGTGATCAGATTGTTTGAAAGATATCGCGTAAATATATCCCACATCGTTGACATAAAGTTCGTCTTCTAATTATATTATTATTATTATTATTATTATTATTATTACTTGTCTCTTGGGTTCCTAGTGGAACATACGGCTTGAGTAGCATGTCTCCATCCCACTCTGTTCTCCGTAATCTTTCGAACCTCGCTCCACGACAGCCCACAAGCTCTCATTTCCTCCTCGCACGACCTCCTCCATATCACCCTCAGCACAGACGCCCAACTCGTCGTTTCCCATCTAGGTTCTACTCGAGAGCGTGGCCTGACGCATGATATCCCCAGTCAGCCTTCTCAGTGTATGCCCAATCCATCTACACTTCCTGCTACTGTATATTCGTTGAGAGATAGGTTGTTGGTTAGTTCGTTGACAGTCACAGTTCCTTGTTGCTGATTCTTTCTAGCCATCTGATTTTCAGTAACGAGCCAGTGTAGACAGTTTTTGATGAATGTCTGTAGTTTGTTGGAGTTTGTTGTTCGTAACGCGCCAAGTCTCTCAATCATCACATAGAAGCGCTGACTTGACATTGGTGTTAAAAATGCGGATCTTGCTCTTTACTCTGAGTGGAGTGCAGTAGATCTCCACACTGGTTTCAGGCTAATGAACGTCTGTCTTGTTTTATTTCCGATCCTGGCTGCTTTGATGTCCTCGTCTGTGCCGCTGCAGCCGCCTGTAGTTGAGACGATGCTGCCTAGATAAGTGAAAGAGGCTGCTTCTTTTAAGTTTCTCCCGTTGATGGTTATCGGTGTTTGCTGTTGTTGTTGGTTGAGTATCTTCATCACCTCTGTCTTCTCTACGTTCACCTGAAGGAAGTCTTGTCTTCACTACCCTACCTCTTCTCTCAACTTGTTAGTTTTTCCCTGTAGATCTTCAAGTTTGTGTGACATTAGACACAAGTCATCATTGGCGAAATCCAAATCTTCTAGGATCTTTTCCCCGGTCCAGTCTGCGTATGCCCATCTTCTCACTCCTCATAGTTGTCTGCTGCATGATTCAGTCCACTATAATTAGGAAGATCATGGGTTATAGTAGATAGCCTTGTTTTGTTCTTGTCTTCACTTTAAAAGCATCACTGAGCTTCCCATCGTGAATTACTTGGCATGTGGCGTCTTCATATAGTTGTTGAATGAGATTAATAAAGGCTTGTGATATTTCTAATTACACAATCAAAATAATATTTCAGTTAATTCTGTTGAAATTCTTTTAGTAAGAAGGAAATTAAACAACGTAGTAATCAAACTGCTCATAAGAGTGAATGGTAAAGTTTTTAATACATATATGGGTGTACTTTTTTAATTTTGTCAATTTTTTACGCTAATCACCGTTATATAAAGCTTGATGCAGGCCTTTTTATACATGATTCTTAATCGTTAAAGGAGCTGTGACTCATTGGTCTCGGTGTTTTATTCTCAACCACATACTGAGGTCTGAGCTGTCAGGTAGTACTACTAGTTCAAACACAATAGGTGAGGCTAGCTGCTTACTCCATAGGTGTGCACAGGTTGTTGTTTTTTTCCCGATTGGTAAATCAGTCAGCCATGATATCATCTACTGATTTTATTCAGTTACTTAGTACACTGTCAGTTTGTGCACTTATTTATTCTGCAATTATTTGTATCAGTGACCAGTCAAAGATAATAATGACTAAGAACATGTGGTTGGTATATTGTAGTTTACCTTCACTAACTGTCCTGCTATACAGCTAGAGAAATAGGCGTTAAAAGGAGGAGACTTGAAGCATGTACAGGTGTTTTTGGAGCATTGCTCATGTTTGGCGTTATCACCGTGTGAGCAGTCTCAAAGTTAGACAAAAGGTATTAGGCAAGATAGGTAAGTCTGTCGATGAGGTCGTGAATTTAAGTCAACTGACATGGACTGAAGATGTACTGCACTTGCCGACCCAACGCATACTTCGACATGCTACGCTAGAGGAAGTTGGATTAGGTTGGAAGAAGGTTCAGGATGGCTAGAAAAAGACATGGCACCGAGTCAATGAATTATCTGACTGTTGGTCTGAGCCTTGTGGCAAGATGTAGACTGCGTGGCTGGGGTTACCGAGACTGCAGGAATTAGTGGCTGAGGACTTTTGGTAACATGACTAAACATCGATGACAATAGTGCACATGTATTCACTCTTTAACATCTTCTAAAGCTTGACTATTCATTCTAACCTTCGTCTTCAGATTGTTTATTCTCCCACACAACATTTTCTAATTTGATGTCAGTCTATTTTTATCCACTTACCAAGATGTTGTCAACGAATTAGTGTTATACGTTATACAATAAGTTCAGTTTAGTGTCTTGTGCATACTACATGTATGTAGTATGTACTGCATACTACTGTATTTGAAATTGAAAAACTTTCCATTCATCAAGTCATTAACTTAAATGAAAATTTACTCAGTAACCTTGTGCTTATTTGTGTAGTAGACAATTACCCATACCGATTGTTTAAAGGCTAATGATATAACTACCTGGTTGATGAAATCTTGGCAAATAGAGTTGAATCTGATCCTGTGATTTGTTAACTAGATCAACTAAGTCAATCAGCCACACCTCCACTATCAAGAGACATAAGCATGACACACGTCTTTGATAAATAAATCGACAACGTTTACATCATCATAGCTAGCTATTCAGTATCTATTCATAAGCTTTTATCTAATTTACTTATTTCAGGGTGTAGTTTATCAACTCGGCTATGCATTTTCTCTTATGAGTAGTCGACATTTATTTACTTCTATGATGAAATATGCTTTGGATTCAATCTATACACAACTGAATAGTATTGATCAAATGGTATTTTATCATCTACATTTGTCTACAAATGACCTTTCCATAATCGAAGATGATACTACTAATAGTAGTAAGCATAATGGTCAGATCATAAATTCATTGAATGAAGAAAAGTGTCTAATTAACAAGGATGCCAGTTATCCGTTATATAGACTAGTATCAAAATATGCTGATCATGAGACAACAATTCATAAGGATCCAAAAATATTTACTAAAAGGATAATTATCTATAGTAAGTTATATTTTTATTATACACATATATTATGTTGACTTATATCCTTTTTAATTAGTACACATAGTAAATTTTTGTGTTGTACCTCTATAATTTGTCAATATAAATCAGCATGATACAAATAATTCTGTTCAGTTAGAGTATTGTGGTAGTCAGTTGGATCAGATCAGCTGTGAACTAAACATTTTTAATAGATTGAAAGAAAATTTTATGCTTTTCTGTAACGATTTATACTACATCATTCATACGTCATAAATTTATAATTTCGGCATTTTTACTCCCTAAATCTTGAGAAAAAAAAGAAGTTATTCTATTACTAATGTTTCGTTATTTAGTACTATCAGTGAAAGTTGCAGAGACAACAGCAGACATGCTCACACCACTATTGCAGAAGGTGTGGAACAGGCAGGCTTCAGGAAGTACAAATCATGTGCCGACCATTTTGCAACGCTACACTATGCATCATCATAGAACAGAGCATAGAATGGCAGTCAACTCAACACTACCTCAACTTCATCGACTTCGAGAAGACCTTTGACAGCGTCGACCGACAAGTAATTTGGAAACTGCTTCATTACTACGGAGTACCGCAAACCTTTATCCGCCTCATTCAACAACTATATGAAGATGCCACATGCCAGCCAAGTAATTCACAATGGGAAGCTCAGTGATGCCATGGAAGTGAAGTCAGTAAGGAGTAAAACAAGGTTGCCTACTATCCCCCATGATATTCCTTATTGTGGTGGACTGGATCATGCAGCAGATAACAGTAGGCAGCGAGAAGAGGAGGATACGCCGGCTGGACTGCGGAAAAGAACCTAGAAGGTCTGGATTTCGCCGATGACTTGTGCCTGATGTCACATAAACTGGAAGATCTGCAGGCAAAAACTAACAAGTTGATAGAAGAGGTGAGGCAGCGCAGACGGGACTTCAGGTGAATATAGAGAAGACAGAGGTGATGAAGATACCGCACCACCACCATCAACAACAACAACAAACTCCAATCACCATCACCATCAACGGGAGAAACTTAGAGGAAGTAACCTCCTTCACCTATCTAGGAAGCACTATTTCAACTACAAGTGGCGGGACAGACGAGGATGTCAGAGTCAGAATCGGAAAAGCAAGACAGGTGTTCATTAGCCTGAAACCAGTGTGGAGATCTCCTGCACTCAGCATGAGGAACAAGATACGGATTTTCAACACCAACGTCAGTCAAGTCAGTGCTTCTGTATGGCTCAGAGACTTGGGGCGTCACGAAAGGCATTTCCAATAAACTACACACATTCATCAACAACTGCTTACGCTCGCTACTGAAGATGGATGAGATGGCCAGAATAATGAGAATAAGCAACAAGGAGCTCTGGGAACGAACCAACCAAGAACCTATCACCCAACAAATATGCAGGAGGAAGTGGATATGGATTGGGCATGCACTGAGAATGCCGACTGGGGACATCACGCACAGGGGCAGTTGCTCGAGTGGAATCCCCATCGGGAGCGACGAGTTGAGCGTCGGTGCCGAGGGTGATATGGAGGAGGTGGTGCGAGGAGGAAATGAGAGCTTGTGGGCTGTCGTGGAACCAGGTTCGAAAGATCTCAGAGAACAGAGGTCACTGGAGACGTGCTGCTGAAGCCCTACGTTCCACTAGGAACCCAAGGGACTAATAATAATAATAATAATAATCAGTGAAAGTTAGCACAAACTTAATAAAAAAGTCTAATAGGCAACACTTCCAAACCTAAAATTAATTTATTTTATGAGATGAATGGGGATTTTTAATCTAGAGATAGCATTTATCATGGATTGATATCAGTTGGGGAACCACTGAAGAGGTGTTTCATCCCAGTATGGGACTCCTAGGTAGTACGCACCCACTACCGGCTATGGATCGAACTCAGGACCTTAAGGTTTTACGTCGAACGCGTTAATCATTCAGCCACTGGGTCAATTTTCAGCGCGAATATCACCCAAGGTCTTCAGTTAGCATCCGCTTCACTTCCGACTGAGTGACCCCACATATCACTACTTCTCATTACACCTTCCTGATATTCAAATGGAAGCAGGTCACTAATGAGCACTATACAGTAATGTATTTTTGAGATGAAAGGGGATTTTTAATTTACAGGTAGTGTTCACCATGCACTGATATGAGTTGAAGAACTAATGGGATTATGGGATTGCTGGACAGCTGTTTCATCTTACAATAGGACTTCTCAATCTCATTCACCCACGACACTGCTAGGAATCGAAATAGGACTTAAAAGTGTCGTGGTGAATGTTTTTACCATTCAGTCACTGGGTCAGGGTTTAATAGTTCACAGTTTCCTACTTCTATTATTTAGTGTGCTGCTTTTCTGATATAACTTATTGTCCATAGTCATATCAAGATAACTACACAACTTTGAGATATACTTTATATTGTTCTAACTCTCTCACTTTCTTTTTATATAGTCAGATAGTAGAGTTTTTCATATACTTGGAACAGGTGCTGAATCATTCCTATTGTAGCATTTGGTGTTGATTCAATAAACCGTAGGTTTGAATGCCACTCTAACCACAGGCTTATCGAGAATCGTATGTAGTGTTTCTGAGGTACCTTCTTTGTATGGTAATACTGTGGAGATTTTCAATTCCCTACTCACAGTATTGACATTATTGTTATTAACTTTATTGTTACTATTATTAACACCTGTTACCGATATTTTTCTTACGATTTCTAAGGAACTTACCAATCAACTTGGGAGGGTAACTGTTGATGTGTAAAGTGTCTTTAATATATCTGGTTTCCCTTCCGAGATCTGCTGATTTTCTAGTACGGTTTTCGGCCCTGCTGCTTAAATACTTTACTGAACCAACTTTAACTGACGTAGGGTGAGACGATTTGAAGTCAAAGTAACGATTTGAATGTGAAGGTTTTCTGTAGACACTTGTGTCTAAACTTCCATCTTGTTTACGTTTTATTGTCTAATCCAACATTGCTAATTCCCCTCCACCATTTTTTACTTCATAAGTGGACTGGATTACGTTGACTACTAGATTTGTATGTGTAATTAAAATTGTCTGTGTGTTCCTACTTAAATACTGGAAAACTTATTACCAAAATCTCGAAACCATATTACTGGAGTGGGGCTGAATGGTCCTACAGCCATCTATTCCCAACTACTCATAAATATGTCAGCCACAATTGGGGAAATTGTTGATCCTATGGCAACTACTTCAGTTTGTTTGTATATTCTACTCTGAAACTTAAAGACTGTAGAAACTAGACCTAGTTATACTCCTAAAATGATCTAATGTACTGCTACCTTAATTTATAGTGTAAGCTCATGGTCATTATTAAGCTCATTTCTAACTGCTTCCAGAATCATGCTAATCTGTATGTTAGTATTCAAACTATATCAAAACTAACCGTTTTTTATTATCACCTAAATATATGTCATCTAATCTATGCTTCAAAACATAAGAACTAGGTAGTTTGGATTTAGAATGATTTCTAATTGGATCAAAGGCCATAGCTAAATATTTGGATAAGTTACAAGTAGGAGTATTTCTAAACTGTACTATAGGTCTAATAGGATAGCCTGACTTATGAATTTTAATAAAACCATAAATCGTATTGGGATTATTAATTTTCGGTCTTAAATTAAACCGGTACGACTCACCTAGAAACAGCTTCACTCGGCTTATTAAACCCAACGTGGATTTTTTAACCTTATTTATAAAAGTGTCTATTGGTTTCTTAATTTCTTCGTACTGCCCTGTTACTATATATTCCTTGACTTTCTGAAGGTAATCAGATTTGTTTAAAACTACTGTCGAGTAGCCTTTGTCGGATTTAGCAATTACTATGTTGCTGTCATTCTGAAGGCTCTTAAAAGCTTCTCTTTGTACTACCGGTAAGTTCTGTTTCGTTTTCTTCTGTCGCTTAAGTGTTATAGCATATTATGCTATAGCCTTATTTCCCACTTCTTTATCTACTGCTACATTGAAGTTAATTCCATTTTCTAGCATTTTTACGTCTGTTGAGCTTGAAACCTTTATTGAGAGATTGAAAACCCAATTTCTTTTATCATTAACAGGCAATGTGCTACTGAGAATCTCATCATTCTCTCCCGGATATTTTTTTTCTCTTCCACTAACTTGTTGAGCTTATTTATTTGAGTATTCTTGGATTTTCTGAAAGCACTTGGTCTCGCTATGTTGAAGTTGTCAACCAGCAGTACATAATCTTAGGTGTTGATTCGATAAACAAAGATTCAATTATCAACCTCCACGACCACCACCCCATTATGTTACTGTTAAGGATTTTCACCCTGTTGGCTTGGTAAAATGTAGAAGCAATAAGGCCAGAAAAGTGACTGGCAAAAAAGAAAATCTGAGATAAAAGGCTAGATACATTAAACACACCTTACTCATCAACAATGATCCTCCCAAATTAATTGACATGTTCCTCAGGAATCTTGGGAAAAATATGACTGATATTAGTAACATAGGTGTTAATAGTGGTGACAATAATGGTGTCAATACTGTGAAGATAGGATTCAAAATTTCTACAGCATCATCATGCAAGAAAGGCACCTCAGAGACATTACTTAAGTTTCTCAATAATAATGGTGGGATATGAGTGGCATTTAAACGTACAAACTCGCTTGGGAACAATCTTTGCAGGTAAAATGATCCTATCGATCCAATCAAGCAGAATAACTGAGTTTACCGAATCCCTTACAACGAATGTGAGGGCAAATACACAGGTCAAAGTAGTCGACCAGGACCAACTAGGTTATCCTAGCACAAAAACCTAGCTAGGTCAAGCTTGGTAGATCCTAGTAGTGTGAGGAATTTAGGAAAAGGCTCATCCATAGCTATGCATGCGATTACATACAACTACACAAATAGGATGAGACAGGGTGAAAATCCTTAAAACTAACATTGAAGGGTGGAGGGAGAGATTGATAACTGAATCTTTGTTTATTGAATCAACACCTAATACATGCAC